GAGCCGTCTATTGGCACTCTTCAACGGCATCACCGTCGTCACCGAAGGCGTCTGCCACGCGAAGACAGCAACGTGGTCGATGAAGGAAGCCGACTTCGCCCCGTGGTACGTGGGACCCACCTCGAAGTCGCTGGTGACGACGCGGAGCGCAAAGCGCTCCATCAGTTCTAGCATCTTCTCCGAGGCGTAGTGCTGAACCTGATGTCCGTGCGGGCCCAGCGCATCCGAGGTGACCGTCCGATACGCATGATGGCCCTGATTTCGTAGCCCCAGTCCGTCGTTGAGGTCGAATCCGAAGAAGAGGGCCGAGCGCCCTCGCGCCCATGTCAATACTTGCTCTACCCACTCCACCATGGCGTCGACCGTGGCCCTGTACGCATAGTGCTGTTTATTCACCGTCGTGGTCTCTGTCGCCTGCCTCCGACTCGTCGGCCGCGGAGGGAAGTAGGCCATGGGCACAAGGATGTCGAACCTGCCGCTTCTGAGCCTGGTCAGGGATACGCGCCCGCGCAGCTTCGGCGGCATGGAGGGAGTGTCCACCAAGTGCTGCGTCCGAAAAGTCCGACGCCTCAGTAGGATGGTGCACCCGCAGCTCTTGTTGGTATGGGGGCTGGGACTCCAGCCCGATCTCAAAGCAGTGTGGTACGGCAAGGTCGAACGTATGGTGTCCACTTCGCCACGCCTCTCACCCGTGCCTGTCAAACATACCACATCAACGTAGCGGAACTCAGCAGATATATCACAAAGTCGTTCCTCGGTGCTCGCGTTCTGGGCACTCCAATGGATATACTTCATCGCATCAAGCTCGAGCGCCGCCGAGAACGCCCAGACAGCCCATCGCCAGCGCGGCAGCCGCATCGCCGCGGGCCGCCGCCTCACCGTGGGGAGGACACGCCATGCGGGCGCGAGGTATGAATGCGCATCCTTCAGCGCCTGCCGCCCCAGAATCGCCAGCCTCGGGCCGGGGGGTCTGGGGGAGGAGGAGGAGGAGGAGGAAGAAGAGGAGGGGCCCGGCCCTCAACATGCTTGATCCTCGACCTTCGAGTCGGGTGCTTGTCTGGCGGCGCGCCCTAGGGGGCGCCGTGGGGCGGCCTTCTAGGATGGCGGAACGGCTTCTCGGGAGGCGGGGGGGGGGTCTCACACGGGCCCGAAAGCTCCAGGCTTCCAAAAAATGAAAGACACACAAATGAGTAAACAAGAATCCCAGGGCCCCTCCAATTTTCCACATGTCCTGGATGTTCGTCGTCCTCTCCACTGCCCGTGTGTTCGGCAAATTCGCGGGAATCGACGATTACTTGTGTGTGTTTTATGTGTTTTGTGTGTGTGTGTTTTGTGTGTTTTGTGTGTTTTGGTTGCGTGTGTTGCTCCCCCTGGAAAGAAACAAAACCAAAATTATGCACTGCGTGGGGCTCCTCCATACGTGCATATATTTGCATGGGCCAGGTGTGAGTGAGTCGGAGTATGAGCATGACGGGTACAAGTCTGAGCACAAGTGAATCTGGGACATCCTCGCAATCTGCCCCCCCTGGGGTGCGAAAGCCAGTGGGTCTGAGTATGAGTATAGTGAATACGAATCTAAGTCTGAATGGGGCTGAGTACGAGTGAGTTTGGCTACGAGTGAATATGAGGGCGGGTGGGTCTGAGTGTGAGTGATTCTGAGCGTGGGTAAATCTGGATGTGAGTGCGTCTGAGTATGAGTATGATGGACATGAAACTGGCACTAAGTGGGTCTGAGTACGAGTGAGTCTGCCTACGAATGAGTCTGAGGGTGGGTGGGTCTAAGTGTGAGTGAGTATGAGTGTACGTTACTCTGGGTGTGAGTGAGCCCGAGTACGAGTATAATGAGTGCGAGTCAGAATATGAGTGAGCCTGAGCACGAGTGAATCTTAGACATCCTCGAAATCTGGGCCCTCTGAGGGTGCGGAAATCAGCGCCTCGCCATAAACATCCTCAGAATCTGCTTTGACCGCAGACGAGTCCGACCACCAAAACACGCAAACCGCTTAAGACATCCTCGAAATCTGGTCCCCCTGGGGTGCGAAAGCCAGCGCCTCGCCTGAGACATCCTCAGAATCTGCTCCGGAAGCGGAGGTTGTTCGCAACCAAAACAAGCAAACCGCCTGAGACATCCCCACCATGTGGGCGCGAACGGAGGCCGTGCAATACCCCTGGCGGTACCCCCTTAGGAGCGTTAAAACCAACAAGCCGCTCGAGACATCCTCATCATCTGCTCATCGTCATCATCATCAGCAGCAGCAGCATCAGCATCACCATCAGCATCGACATCAGCATCAGCATCATCATCAACAACAACAGCTTCATCATCATGATAACCATACTCATCCATCATTCACCATCACCATCAGAATCACATCATACTCTTACCGTACAATTGGTCATCATGATGACAATCCTCATCATTGTCTAGTGCAGAGAGGAAGGGAGGGATGGTCCGGCGCGGCCGGAGAATAATTACTCGACGCGGGGCTCCCCACATGTGCATCTCATTATCTTGGTACGTCTTTCTATTGATATCTGTCAATGAGCGCCTGCGTGCGAGGGCGAACCGCTCGCTCGAGACATTCCCACCGTCTGCAAGCATGAGTGCGACCAATAGCAAATCTGAGAGCGACTGATTCTGAGTGTGAGTTAATCTGGGTGCGATTGAGCCTGGGTTTGAGTGGGTATGCGTGTGAGTAAATATGAGCGCGAGTGCGTCTGTGTGCGAGTGGGTCTGAGTATGGACGAATCTGAGTGTGAGCCAGTCTGTGATTGAGCGGATCGTAGCATGATGAGTCTGAGCATGAGTGAGTCTGGGCTTGAGTGGGTCTGAGTGTGAGAAAAAGTGTGTGTTAATGAATCTGAGTGCGAGTGAGCCGAGTGTGATTGGGTATGGATGTGAGGCAGTCTGAGTGTGAGTCGGTCTGCGTTTGAGCGGACCGAAGGATGATGAGTCTGAGCAGGAGCGAGTCTGAGTATGAGTGGTTCTGAGCGTGAGTCTGAGTGTGAGTAAGTTTAAGTATGGATATGAGCGAGTCTAAGTGCGAGTGAGCCTGCGTGTGACTGAGTCTGAGTATGAGTGAGTATGAATGCAGAAGAGTGAAGGAGAGCGGAGAGCGAAGGAGAGTGAGGCGGAAGCGTTTGAGTAAAACCTAAAGCCTTGGAACATCGAACCTCGATCGTCTGGCCCTGGCTACTCGAGTTGCCCACGTCCTCCTCCTCCTCCTCCTCCTCCTCCTCCTCCTCCTCATCATCATCATCATCATCATCATCATCATCATCATCATCATCATCATCATCATCATCATCATCATCATCATCATCATCATCATCATCATCATCATCATCATCATCATCATCATCATCCCCTTGCTTCTGCTCCTACCGTGTTCATGCTGTCCTCCTTCCTCCTCCTCCTCCTCCTCCTCGTCCTCTTCCTCCTCCTCCTCGCTTCCTCCTTCTCTTCCTCCTCCTCCTCCTCCTCCTCCTCCTCCTCCTCCTCCTCCTCCTCCTCCTCCTCCTCCTCCTCCTCCTTGGGAGTGCTGAAACCAGCAAATCGCCTGAGACATCCTCCCAAAACTGCTCCGAAAACGACAGATGCCCAGCATCATAACGGCCAAACCGCCTGAGACATCCCCGCAAACTGGGCGCGAACGTCCTCCAAATCTGCTCCGAAAGCGAAACATGTTGGAAGAGAAAATGGCCAAACCGCCTGAGACATCCCCACAAAATCCCGCGAAAGGGGCCGAGTGAAATACCCACCCGCCGCTCCCCTTAGAGTGCTGAAACCAGCGGATCGCCTGAGACATCCTCCAAATCTGCTCCGAAAGCGAAACATGTTGGAAGAGAAAATGGCCAAACCGCCTGAGACATCCCCACAAAATCCCGCGAAAGGGGCCGAGTGAAATACCCCCCCGCCGCTCCCCTTAGAGTGCTGAAACCAGCGAATCGCCTGAGATATCCTCCAAATCTGCTCCGAAAGCGAAACATGTTGGAAGAGAAAATGGCCAAACCGCCTGAGACATCCCCACAAAATCCCGCGAAAGGGGCCGAGTGCAATACCCCCCCGCCGCTCCCCTTAGGAGTGCTGAAACCAGCGAATCGCCTGAGACATCCTCCAAATCTGCTCCGAAAGCGAAACATGTTGGAAGAGAAAATGGCCAAACCGCCTGAGACATCCCCACAAAATCCTGCGAAAGGGGCCGAGTGCAATACCCCCCCGCCGCTCCCCTTAGGAGTGCTGAAGCCACAGAATCGCCTGAGACATCCTCAACATCAGTGTGTGTGTGTGAGTCATCCGATGAGTGGACCTGAGTGAGTGTAGTGAATGTATGAATACAAGTACGAGTGAGTCTGAGTGATGAGTGAGTCTGAGTGATGAGTGAGTCTGAGTGATGAGTGAGTCTGAGTGATGAGTGATGAGTCTGAGTCATGACTGAGTCCAAGTGATGAGTGAGTCTGAGTGATGAGTGAGTCTGAGTGATGAGTGGGTCTGAGTGATGAGTGAGTCTGAGTGATGAGCGAGTGGGTCTGAGTGAGGGGAGGGGGGTGTTCCCTCTCCTTCTCTCCTCCGGCGCGGTCCGCCAATAACAAGAACCCCATACTTAGGATATGGGGAACAGGAACCCCATCCTTTGGATAGGGGGGAAAACTCGGGGGCGGGGCGTGCTTCTGAGAAGTCCCCTGCCTTCTCGTGGCCCCCGCCTTCTCGGAAGGCCGCCACCCCCCTGCATGGCGGGGACTTGTCCCTAGGGGGCGGTGGATCCGGCCACGCTTGGGCCACACGGGGGTCCTAAAGAGTCCATATCCACAGCCTGCCGAGGTCCCGGAGGCTCGGCTTCCCATGGTAGAGGGCAGAGAATCCGCCCCGAGAATAACCATCCCGACGCGCGATGCCGTTTACTAAAGGCACCCAAAGAAGGAATCGAACAGGGCAAGGCTGTTTGGGAAACGCCAAGGTCCGTTTTATAAACGCCAATTGTCGGGTCCGAGTGGTTTTTCTTCTCTTGACATGCAGATCGGCTTCCTGGTGGGGGACATGGAGAAACCATGTCTCGGAGACGCCCTCGCGCCACCCCGTCGGTGCGCGCCGCCGGAGCCTTTTCTCACGCGAGGTAGCCGCATGAGAACAGGAGCCGCGTCCAGTCCAGGACGACGCCAGCCGCGTCCTTGGACGATCGCGAGTCCAGGAACAGGCCGCGCCCGCGGCCGGCTGGCCAGTCCCAGCGGGGCCCACGGGGGCAGCCCTGACATCCCCGCGTGGAGAAAACATCAAGACGGCACACTTCCGACAATTTTCGGCTTCCGGTGGCCTTCAATCTTCTGGACGAGAACTCGGTCCGTAGGAAAGGGGCCAGTGCTACTCCACGAAAGGTAGGTACACAGACACCCGCCGACGAGTTCCCTCTGTGATTTTACAGAGGGTGGCGGTGTATAAAATCGCTCGCCCTCAGAAATGAATTGTACACCGCCACCCCTCCCTCAGGCCGAGAATCAATCCGCTGGGGATCGTCTGTGTTTAATGAAAAATAAGAAATTGGACGACATCATAATCTCTCATATCTTGTTTAGACGATGAAGCATTATAGATACCGTATTGTATCATACGACATTGTAGCATACCCTTCTGCATTATGACGTACAATGATATGTCGCATTATAATGTGTTGTATCATATTGTATATATTGTATTATATCGACACTAGAATAGAACATCACATATTCTAACATATCGCATTCTAGTATAGCAGAGCCAAAGTTGCTGTAATAATGTTTTCATATTCATAGCCTGCCATATTTCACTAATTCTTTAAAATCGTACTATATAGCAATAACCAAATGCGTTATTGGGAAAATTCGATCCTGGTACAATGCATGTTCTGATAAAACTTTTATCGTATTTTCAAGAAGAGTGTTCAAAGCGTGGTGCATCTTATTGCGTGAAATGCTGAATCACATCTTCTGATACAGCGTGTTGTATTATACGTTGTTGTGGTATGATACACTGTAAGATGCATGTTAATGCTATAGTGCAATCGGACCAAGCATGTTGTATTATATTATGTTTTGTTATAGTGTTTATATTATTCGGGTGCTGCAGTATTTATTGTATTAACTTGTGACGGACCATGTCTTATTCTATTAGATCAGAATATAATAGATTGAACTGTATTTGGGTGTGATAGATGATAGCATATGGTATGACATTATGTTCTACACTTGTACATTTTGCTTTGTTATATGTTACATTATTTACCACTGAAGCGGAAGACCTCTGGGGAGCCACGTTGTGACCGAAATCACGTCAGACGTCTTTGGGGGGCAGGGCATCTGACATCGCTTCTGCGTGTCCGATGCAAGCGTCTGGGGCGACAAAGCGTATACGTATACGCTGGCCCTGCCACCGCGCTGAGAAAAACGTCCGGAGAGGATCTCCAGGGTTCCAAAACAAGCTCTCTGTTGATTGAGCTCTGGCGCTGCAGAGAATGATATCTGAATGCAATCAGAACGCATCATCGAGATGCGCAGTAAGGATGCAAGGGCCTTGGAAGGCCATGTTGACGTTTTTCGAGCGGGGCGCGGCCAGCGAAAAGGGCCAAAGATGGGCCGACGGGGCAAGGTTACAAGGGCAGCCTTGGACAGTTGCTCATCCTTACTGTGCGCGTTGACCGTATGAGACCGCTCCGCACATGTCTCCACGCCGCTTGTTCTGAACGCGCCCGAGCAGACGAAGTCGGCACCGCGGCAAGCCCCACAGAGAAGCCTGCGTCCGAGGCGGAGCTTGCCCCGGTGGCCGAGGCGCCCTCCCCGCGGCCTGAGGCCGCGCGTCGGAGCAAGCGGCGCGGCGACGACCGCGTCGGCCCCAGCCGGGCAGCGACGGACCGAGAACGGTGGAGGGCGTGGTGGGGGCGTCTCGGGCGTTGCGCCTCCCCGTCCGCCTTGGAGGTGCTGCTCATCCTTGCTGTGCGCTTTGACTGTAAGCAGTGCTTTTCGCTTTCGTGCTGCTTCCGTTTTCTCTCGTTCTGTCTTCAATCCGCCTCTACTGCAGAACGACATCGAAACGAAAACGGCCAACGAAATCGCCAAAAACACTGTTTACGTCCAGCCCTGCCGTATGACACTGCCCCGCACACGCAGACCGTGCAGCACGCTCCTGCGTGCCAGGCACCACCCGCGCGCCCAGGATCGGCGCTTGCACGCCCCCCTGCCCCAGCCAGGACAAGGCTAGGGGGCCACATGCGAACCCTTCCCCTACCCCCCACGATTTCTGAGGGGGAGGGTGGGGTTCACTTCGCTCAGCCTCCCCACCCTCCACTTCGAGCGAAGTGAACCCCACCCTCCCCCTCAGAAATCGTGGGGGGTAGGGGTAGGGTTCGCATGTGGCCCCCTGAAGGCCCAGGAGGGCCTGGGCCCAGGATGGGCCTGGGCCCAGGATGGGCCCCGCCGAGGCCGGTGTGACACGCAGAACTCTTCGCCGCACGAGCATGGCTCTCCGAGCAGTGCCCTCACCATGGGCTCTTTTGGAGGCCTGGAAATTGGCACCAACACCAGCCTGGGGGGGGGCCTCCATAGGGGGAAGATGATCCTAGATTTCGGTGCTGGTGGTAACATTTCGGCCACCCTGGAAGCCAGAATATTACCACCATCGCCGAGATCGGGATCCTCTTCCCTCGGTGCAGGCACACCGCCGAAACTGGTGTTGGTGTCAACCTCTGGGCCTGCGAGCTTTAAGCAGTGCCCTCACCGTGGGCTCTTGCTGCCGCTGCCGAGCAGACAGCCGTGCGCCGGCCCGGGCCGCCGCCCGCAGCCCTGTCCTGCGGGCGCCCCGGGGCGCCCGGCACACGCCGAGCCGGCACCTCCTGCGGTGCGCCCCGGCGCCCGCCAGTGGGCACCTCGTGGGCGCCCCGTGCGCCGACACGGGGGAAGGAGGGAGGAGGGAGGAGGAGGAGGAGGAGGAGGAGGAGGAGGAGGAGGAGCAGGGAGGAGGAGGAGGAGAAGGGCGGAGGAGGAGGAGGGGGAGGAGGAGGAGGAGGAGGAGGAGGAGGAGGAGGAGGAGGAGGAGGAGGAGGAGGAGGAGGAGGACCGCAGGGGGAAGATGGGAGCGGACCGCATGACTCAATCACCACCGTCGAGAAGCGAATGCCGGTTGCACTCGAAAGCCGTCGTTTCTTCCTCACCAAGCGTGTGGAAACGGACGCAAGAAACGACAATGCAGCGTGCGCTGACACGGGTGTCGGGAGGCACAGATGCAGGCATCGGCCTGACCTGAGGAACGACAAGTAAGGAACGAGTCCCCTCTTCTTCCAGGGAGGAAACGCATGCGAGCCTCAGGAACGACCGAGCCCCTCCGGAAAAGCAAGCGTTCCTCATGCAAGCCGCTCACTGTAGCTTGCGCCCGCAGCAGGCTGCACCAAAATAGATTGCTCCCCATACCTTGCACCCGACATGTGTCATACAGCCCCCTACATATCAAATCGTAGCATGCCAGCCAGACGCAAAAGTTCGAAGCCCACCCTCATCCGTATGAAATAGATCTTTGCGGTGCAAGGAGGAGCCCAGACGGGGGACCCGAACGCACATTTCGAGCCCTCGGCCTGAGAAGCTCTCAGGAGGCCCCCAGAGGTCCCTAAGAAGCCCCGCAAGAAGCCCCAAGAAGCCCCCAAGAGACTCCCCGAGACCCCACGAGGCCCCCACGAGGCTTCCAAGCGGCCCCCCAGAGCTTCCGACGAGGTCCCCAAACTACCCCGAAGAGGCCCCCAAGAGCGCTCGTCGTCGCCGTCGTCGCCATTCAGGGTCGGCGGCACTGGCCGTAAGGCCTTCGCAATAAATCTCTGCGATGCGCATGCGTTAATTTAACACATTTTTTCTCCAAAGTACCGATTGCAGCAGACAGCATGCGGGGCACAAGCGCGCGCGACGCCTCGCGCGCGCGTCGACACAATTCCTTATGCTTCAACCACTTCAAAACATGGCTATTAAACATACTATCCCACCACAAACTGCTTTCCACGCAACTATCCTGGAACGGTCCCGCATCAAATGTCCCGCAATGTGCCGTACTGTCTCTGCAACAAAAATACCAGAATTCTGGGCGCGCGCGCGCGCTCGTTGAAACACAAGTCCAGGCGTTTCTCAATGAGATGTTCACCAGGAGTTCTGCATTTTTGGCCGCGCGCGCCCTTCCTCATCATGCTCACCAGCACCATCATCATCATCATCATCACCACCACCACCACCACCACCATCATCATCATCATCACCATCATCATCGCCATCACCACCATCGCCAACATCACCAGTGCCATCTTCATCGCCGACATCATCATCACCCTCATCATCGTCGTCCTCACCGCCGTCGTCACGATTGATATTGGCGATGTCGTGGCCCTCGTCGCTTCTCTGCGCGCACGCGTTTCTCCATCATGTTCACCAGCACCATCGTCATTCACCAACACCATCGTCATCATCGGCAGGGTCGTCATTGCCATCGCCATTATCACCACCATTTGCTTCATCGCCATTACCATCACCATCGCCGACATCGTCCCCACAGTCGCCATGATCTGTATCATCGACATCGTCGGGGTCCCCATTGTCAGCAAGATGCAAATGGGCGGGTGGGATTGTTACATTAACGTTGGAGGTGGCCACTTACGGAGAAGGTGCGGTGTGTCGACTTTCCGGTGCAAATAAAACATCACATCCCCCCTCCCCACATGAATGCCAAGGTTGGCAGGTCCCCTGCGCGCGCTGGGTTTTGCAGATCAAAGCGTTTGTTATGTCATGTCGGTCTACGTGTTGCACATCACTTGCACACCCAGTGTCGCCCCCCCCCGTCACCCCTGTCTAATAGCTGAATACGCGCGCACGCCTTGGGCCGTAAGAAAACCTGATTCCATCATCCCTTGCCGAAAAAACGCGCACATGTCCTCATCATAATTACCGAACGCACGAGTCAGCCAAGCGTTTCGACATATAAATATGCAACAGCACTTTGTTTCTAACATGTTAAAGCTGCTATTCACATGTTCTGCACGCCCGCACTCGCTGAAATCAGGCGCGAACCAACGATGCTAGCAGTCACGTCCCGAAGCAGCATGTTCATATCACTGTGCGGTGCACTCGCGGTGATATATAGCATGCGCACAATGCACGGATCCGTATCAATAGAGACCATGCGAGCCACACGCGCGCGCCGCCACGAACGCTTGTCGAAATCAATTTCAAATCAATTCGATTCGAAACACATCGCGACATATGTTGTCAAAGCAGATGACGCATCACCCCAGCATCGACCCCAAAATGTATGTGCATTGCTCGGCAGCCAGGGCGCATGGCCCAAAGCTGGCCCTCGTGAGGGTCGCCACTTTTCGACGCCAAAGCGTCCAGCCCACAGCTGGCCCACAGAGCCAGCAGAGGCCTTTGGCCCATACGGAGGAGCGCCATCCTTGTGAGGCTCGCCACTTTTCGAAGGACAAAGCGCCCGGCCCAGAATTGGCCCACAAAACCGCCACAGCCCTCCAGCCCGCCGGGAGGAGCGCAATCCTTGTGATGGTCGCCACCTTCGAAGGCCAAGGCGCCCGGCGCACAGCTGGCCCACAGAGCTGGCACAGGCTTCCAGCACACCAAGAGGGGCGCCATCCCTGTGAGGGTCAGCACTTCTCGAAATCCAAAACGCCGCAGACGGCCACAGAGCCCGCAGAGGCCTCCAGCCCACCGGGGGGGGGCGCAATCCCTTCGAAGGTCGACAGTCGACACTTTTCGAAAGCCAGTGCGCCCAACCTGGGGTTCCCCAATTGTTGGTTGCCTGCGTGGCGTCGTTGCCGCCGCCTTCTGTCCGAGGCGTTCATGCGGTAAAGAAGGGCATCCATAAACGGATGGCCCCTTGGCCGCGGCCCCTTTCCTCCGTTTCATCCCGTTGCCCCCTTTTCTTTCGCACGGAAGACTTCCGAGAAACGATTGGATCTGTTGTGGGTTCTGTTGTGGTTCCGTGGGGTGGGCCTGGGGTCCCTTCCTGGGTTCCCTTCTGAGTCACCGTCATCCTGTTCCCCCTCCTCCCCTTCCTCCTGCCCCTCCCCCCACCCCCCGCTTCCTCCTGCTCCTCCCCTCCCGCCGTCCGCTCCCCAAGGGGGATGAGGGAAGCGAAAAACAAAAAAACAAAGAAAAACCACAACAATCAAAGAAATCGAAGACCGACGGCTGGAAAACCGACAATACACTAGGACAAACAACAAACAACTTGCAAAAACCAAAAGTTTCAATACTTCGTCCACCCCCACCGCGCCTCTCCCACTAAGTATTGAAATATTGTGGGTGTTTTTAGATTTGTTGTTGTTTTCCTGGTGTTGTTTTGGTGTTCCAGCCGTCTGTCTTCGGTTTCTCTGTTTGTTTGTTCCTTGTGCTTTTTGGTTTTCACCGCCAGCATGACGAATCCAATGTAATCCGCCCATACAACGGATTGTGTCGCACCCCAAACAGGAGGAATCCCTGTATGGATCCTCTACAGGGGAAGGAGAATGACAAAGAAATAGCTCTCGGAGGACGATTCGAGAAGCACGAGAAGGAAGACATTGAGGACGACAGACAGAGGAAAAGGACGAGCAGACGAAGGAGGAGGGCGACGACGACGAGGACGACGACGAAGAGGAATCGCAAAAAACAGCTTTGAAGCCTTTGAAGGCCGAAAGGCCGCCATACCCATCAAGTCTGGAGATGGAGAAGGAGGAGGAGAAAGAAGCGGAGCAGGGAGAAAGGAGAACGGAGGAGGTGGGATGAGGGAAAGGCGGGAGGAGGAAGGAGGAACTCTGGTGCCTGCAAACTTGAGGGTGTGCCTGGTTGCCCCAGACCCCCTGGCCCCCGGGGCGGCCAGCTAACCGGCCGCGGTGCTGTGTCCGCAGCCCTCCATGACGATCGGATCCCCTGCCAGGAAGGCGTCGGCTATCTCGTCCAGGGCCTCCTGTAGGACGACGACATCTGCACAACGACGCCGACCTGGGTCAGGCCAAGATCCTGGGCCCAGCATGCAGGTAGACGGTATACGCTCCATCGCCTGGCCAGGACGGCGCATACGCCGACTTAGGCCACACGTGGGGCTGGCCAGGACTGATGCTGGTGCATAGCTGTCGCCGTCCGATCCTGCGCAGGGGTGACGAGTGGGCTACACGCAAGAGTGACCCCAGGCAAGAGGGAGCCACGGGGAGGCCAAACCCGATGCGCGCCAACCAATGCTGGGGGAGGACCTCTGTAGGCTCGCAAGAAAGGTCACTCCAGCTGAGGGCCACACATACACGTCGGTCGGAAGAAGTGGATAGAACCATGAAGTAGAAAGGCGTTTGAAGCAGATCGGGCTTCCGCCCGCCCCCCTGAAGAGGAGTGACGAGGGAAAACCACTGGACTCTTGCAGGAAGGCGGCCAAAGTAGACTGGGATGTAGGGACCCAAAATACTTACTTTCAACGGCCGAACTGCACGCGGAGCCGAACGAGGACCTAGGACAGATGAACCCACTTCAAGAACATGAGACCTCCGCCGGCCGAAACACCCCAAACCACAAGATCGCTCGAGGGCGTCCCCCCCCCCCAGGGTGCACAAGAACATCCAACAAACACGAAGAACACGAGGGCACCCTCCCCGAGCCAACCTCGATCTTATAATTGCCTCGGTCCGACCATACTCGACCATGGGCCCCCCAGTTGAGCATCGGCCTTCGGCGGTCTTCGGCGGTCGTCGGCGGTCCCCTGGCAGTCTTCGGCGGTCTCCTGGCGGTCTTGGCGGACTTTGTGGCGGCCGTATCCGGCGGCCTTCGGCGGTCCTCGGTGGCCTCTCCTTGGCGGACGTCCGGCGGCCTTCGGCGGCTCCCGGCGGTCTTCGGCGGGCGCCCTCCCCGAGCCGACTCTCGGGGACGCTCCTCAGCCGGACCGCCAACGACTGCCATGAAGGGGCCCTGGGACACACAAATACATGCACACAAAGAAAAGGATCCCCATCTTTCCGTATATTGTCCGGCTTTCTGTCTCCCCCCCCACTTCCCATATCTTCCCATATTTTCCTGGGGAATCGACGATGAATGGTGTCCGTGTGTTTTTTCCCCTCCTGATCTCGGGGAAGCTCCTCCGGGCACCGGCGATGTCCGCGCACGCGCCCCCCTCTCCAGGCGGCGCTTTCCGGGCGCCAGGGAGAGGCGGCGCCCGAGGCGCCGCCACGGGGCCCCGGAACAGTTTTTGATTTTTCGAGCAGAGGAAGCAACAACAACAACAACAACAATAACTACAATAACTACAACAACAACAACAACATCAACAACAACCAACAACAACAAACAACAAACAACAACAACAACAACCACAACAACAACAACAACAACAACAACAACAACAACAACAACCAACAACCAACAACAACAACACCCAACAAGCAACAAGCAACAACAGCAACAACAACAACAACAACCAACAACAACAACAACAACAACAACAAAAACAAAAACAACAGCAACAACAACAACAAAAAACGGCATAAACACAAACTGTTGGCGCTCCGCGCGGGTTTCTTGGATCCGCGCTGGGCCCCCGGTGTTTTGCTTCTTCGATCGAACTCATGGAGGCTCATGGGGCATCAATGAGCCCGCGTCGCCACCCACCACCTTGCAGTATGTCGTTTCCCGAGCGGCATGGCCAGAAAGCGCCCACCACCGAGCATGTGCTCCAGAAGACTTCTCGGTGCGCGCGTCGCCACTTTGGTGGCGACGCACATATTTGCGATTTCGGAAACCCTGGACCCAAAAACGTTTTCATCTCTTTGGGGCGCAACTTTTATTTCCACCGAGCTTCCGCCGGCTTCCGCCGGCGGAGACGGCCTTATTGTACTTCCGCAGACCTTCTGCCGCCCTTCCGCCGCGGAAGAGATGACACCTTCTTCGGTCCTCGACGGCAAGGCCTTTTTGCGGGAACGCCTCCTATAACATTCGCATTCTGGGGGTGACGCCGATCCTGGGGCACCAATGCGTCCGCGCCGCCCCAGGACGTCCATGGATCTTTGGTGTGGGAACGCCACGCTGTCCATCGCAAAACCATCGAAACCCAGGAAACCCGGGGCATCCTGGAGACTAGCAGGGTGCTTCTTGGCTTGGGCCTCCACTGTGTTAGCATTTTGGGGGTGACGCCGATCCTGTAGCGCGTTTCGCTTTTCTCTATTTTCGGCGAAGATGGGCATTGTAGGGGGGGGAGGGGGCCGGGGAGGGCATAATGTAACGCCTCCTCTCCGCCGTGTGCCCGATGCGCACGGCGGCAATGCCCGGAGCGCAGCGAGGGGGAAGGGGCGTTACGTTATAGGGGGGGGGAAGGGGGAACCGGGGGCTCTCATGCCCAGTACGCCCCAAGCAATACGGAAACACGCTCTAGCATGTTGTTAGGGGGCCACGTGCGAACCCTACCCTATTACCCCCACACGATTTCTGAGGGGGAGGGCGGGGTTCGCTTCGCTCAAGAGCTCCCGAGCGAAGTGAACCCCACCCTCCCCCTCAGAAATCGTGGGGGGTAGGGGTAGGGTTCGCACGTGGCCCCCTATTTATGGGTGGCGCCGATCCTGGGGCACCAGTGCGTCCGCGCCGCCCCCCACCACCAGAATGCGGTCGCTCAGCGCGCTGCCGGCCGCCAGGCACCGCTCCAGAGCGGGCGCCGCGGCCGCGCTGGCGGGGGCCTCGTCGGCCAGCGGCTCCCCGAGGCGCGGAGGCGACGACGGGGGCGGGCCCAGGGGAGAGGGGAAGAGGGGGGGGGGGGGGGCAAGGCACGCACAGGAAGGGTCCCAGGGACACTTTTAGCCAGCAGCCGCAAGCGAAAGCGCAAACGGCGAGTCGAGCCAGAGCGGGCCGCGCAAAGACGAATCACCTAAAGCCGGCGGGGCCTCAGGCATCACCACGGAAGACAGGGCCGGCGGGTGGGGGCGTGCAGGGAGTCCCAAGGACACACGGATACACAATTTTCCGTGAGCGGCGAGGCGGCGA